CGCTATACAGCATATCTAAATTCTTGCTGGTAACGCAGTTAATTGGAACCGATAATTGCTGTCTTCTTAATTTTGATATGATCGTTCCAATGGCATTTGATATCATCAATATAAATGCTCGATGTTATCAGAAATGCTCGCCCAAAGAGAAAATAAATACTTTGACCCGTTATCAATACTCGGCGTTTACATCGGTCATTGACATTGGAATCCGTTACTTGCAGTGAGCTGGATGCCAGAATCTTGCCCGCTTGAACATAAGCCAAGTAATTCCAAGTAATTCAAAGAAATTAACGCAAAATATATACAACAAACTCTAAAAACTAACATGGGATGACGAAAATCTTCGAAATGCGCAAAAATAATTCACCGTCATGTCTTCAAGTTTTGCTTTTATTTTGAGACAAGCGCCACAAACTCTTCGTAGATCCGTCCGAATGTTCGCAATTTTTTAAACGTGCATTGTGCATAACGCGTATCTCTACAATAAACATAGCTTTCCCATTATCGTCGAAGGGTTACGCGCCACGCGCGCCAGAGAGAGTGCCTCACTCCAGATTCTATCTGCCGGCGGGCCGATACCGCGTTTAACGTCTGACCCGCATTCCGTCAAGCAGCTTGAAATTTCGCTCTGTCCGCATCATGTCTCTGTCTTTTCTTCCGCATCGCTTTCTGGCACGCAGCAGCCGGTTTGTCTGCGCCTCTCACATCTCCACTCTTCTCTCGCTACGACCGCACGGTAGAATATCTTTGTGCGTTCGTGGATGGCGCCGCGAAAATATTGTTATTCCACAGCCGAAGAGACGCCTCATGAGCATACGTGACGAACTTTGCGCTGCGAACGATGCCACCATGTTAAATCTTTCCTTGTGCTCGCTGAACGCAGAGTACCTTAATGGAGCACGGACAGACTGATGACTCCAGTTAGAATTTATTGCCTGAAGAAATACCTCTTGAAATTGCGACGCGTTGCATGCCACTCTGCACTTTCGTGAGCAATTTGTCTAAGTCAAAAGTTTTACATACGATAAAAATTATGCTTATTACAGTTTTTCTAATTTTCCCATCTTTACGTTAATAAATGTAAATGATACTAATATCAATTTTCGTATCAATTTTCAGTGCTTTTAACGTTGATTTAACATTGTTGACGAAAAATAGTATGAATGAGAGAGAAAAGTCAGATTTTTACAAAATATATTGGCATGATATATCAATGAAAGTAAATTCTATTGATAACGTGAACGTAATTTAATAATATTGAATAAAAAATCGATTTGTCTCGCTGTTTTAAAGCAGAAAAAAATATAAAAGTTAGAAACTAAAGGGAATTTTCAAGCGCGTTAATATTAAATAAAATTATTAAATTTTTTTCTATGTTTATTATTAATACATTTTTGTTTTTGATTTATTTGACTTATTTAAATCGATTTCTCTGCAAATCCGTATAAAA